CAGCTTGGGACACAGACCCACTGGGCCCCCCAGATCCCCGGGCCTAGGGCCAGCCGTTCCGACTTTCTCAGTGATGCCTCCTGAGACGGGCAGGCTGTTCTGCCTCTCTGAGAATCTGCCATTCTCCCCAGCATCTTGCCCCAAGTACAGATTACAAAAATGACTAGGACAGATGGGGCGTTCTCACATTCCTTCAGGACATGCGGAGAACAGACCTCTGAAATGTATCTGCAGAAGGATCTAGAAGAATGTTTCAGCACGGGTACATTCTACAACTGAATGCAGGCGGATATGGTCTCTTTGAATCTGGAGCTGGAACGAAAAGGCAACAGAGGAAGATCAAAAGGGAACCAGAGGAGATGAAAGGAGAAAAGGATCAGACACGGAAAACTTACAAAGAAATAAAAAATGCAGCCGAGAGCCCAAAGGCCACACCAAAGCAGCGAGCTGGTGCAGTCAGAGATAGAATCGGGGATGTGAAAAAAAATGCGATCCTAGGACAGGACAGACACTGGGCCCCGGGGTGGGATGGGGTGGGAAGGCCCACCGGGGTCGGGTGCAGCAGGCTGCTCTGGCGGAGATCTGACTGGGCTTGCTGGGGACCCTTTCTGCTGCTGTCCCTTCCCTGGGCAGATGACACCTGTCCAGGTGTGGGACCAGGAAAGGCTAGAACACCAGACACTCTGCCCTGGGGAGAGGACACTGTGCCTGGCCCTGAGGCCGGGAGGGAGGACCAGGGCCTGTCAGACGAGCCGGGGGCCACTGAGAATCAGAGCTGCCGGTCACGCTGCACCCACAGTGTGCACAGGTCCCTCCTGTGTCTCCTGCGATGAAGACAAGCCTCTGCCTCTTGGGAGGTGATAGCAGCCCCATGCCTGCTGCCACCCTCGTTCCTGTGAGGGGATGCGGACCCTGCACCTCAAGGCCGGGGGTGAGCTGCTGGAGGTCACGGGGAGAGGTCAGAGCCCTGAGGGGCGAGGGAGGCTCTCCTGCAGATGACCTGTGTAGGTGCCCCACTGGCCTCTGATCTCTGGGCCTGGGGCCATGGGTTCTGTGTCCTCCACACTCCTGCCCCAGCCGTGGACTCCCATGGGCCACGCCAGCCTCGCTCCCTTGCTGGTGGCTGCTGGGGGCTGTAGCTG